TATACTGATCAGACTTAAAAGTACTGATCATAGTCTCGCTCTTGCCAATTTATTTATCTACAATGGAGAACACAGACTTCTAAGTGAACATAATCTTTATCTGCACTCTCACCTGTCCCTCAATACTTTTATCAAGAAGTTAAACGAGTGCTTAGAATAGATATTTGATGAATAAAAAATCACTGAATGATACAGTTCTTTCAGGCAGGCCATGGTGAGGACTGATGAAATATTCCCACCCTTAGAGATTACCTTTCTAGTTACCAGAATTTTCATGAACCCCAGATGATGTATCTTTTCCCTTTGTACAGCAGTGTATAAACAGTGCCAAATTCTGCTTTTCAGTTCTTTTTCAATGTTCAATGCTGACCATCCATTCCATTTCTGCTGACATAGCCTTTCTTTAAACATGTTAATGTCATCTATTTAATCCAATCAAAAACATTTCAAAGAGCCTACAATCTGCTGGGCACTCGACTAGGTACTGAGCATCCAAGGTTAGATAAGAGATGAGCTACGTCCTCAACAGTTCGCCTTCTATTGAGGAAGACCTTCTCTTTCCTGTTTTTCACCTGGGAGAGCGCCAGTTTTTAAAGTACCTTCTGCATATACCTAATTTTAGCCATTCTCTAATGATGTTATTTAATTTTCAGAGTTCTAGGAGTATTTTAGTGTTGCCCTGGTACCAACTACAAAGGGTTATTTTGTAGAGAAGAGGCAACTAAAGTCTTGGGGAGTTAAGTAGCTTGCCTGAACCACTAAGTTAAGTAGTGGAACCAAGATTCAAATTCTAGGTCTTTCTGACTCCAAAGATCACACGATCTTTCCTCTATTTCATCAAGTGTCTAAGAAACCAAAAACTAAGAGAGAGAAATACACAGTGCCTAATACATTTCTTGACATATCCCTCAATTCTATGGCTATGTCTGCCAAAATAAAATCAGCAGTATCAGTATCAAGTTATAAATGTGTGCAGAGCTTTTAGATCTCCTATTAACTTCTAGGCCCCCAAATTTAACAAACCAGGAATAAATAATCTTCATTTTGGTAGGTCAAGGCCCAATTCACTGATATTTACTACTCTTAGAAAACAGAATCAAACCCAGATCACTTTTCCAGTTAAAAGCTCTAATCTCAGCAAAAATAAGGCTCTTCTAATATGTAATATAAATTTTAATTCTACTTTAAGCCTTAGTAAAGCATATTAAGAGTGATTTTAAAAACAAAGATTAAGCAAATAAACATGTTAAAAGTGCACTGTTGGAGCATATCCCAAATTATCTAAAATCATCATGTAATTTACATATTTGGTTGATATTTTTAATTTATGCTGAATTATTAAAAAGAAACACTTCTTAAGCAATCCCATTAACATCTACCTGTTTCTTTTATTTCTCATGAGTTTATAATAGTTCATTACATTGATGGCATAGAGTCAGTAAGCATAGGAATTACTTAAACACAAATCCTAACATACAAATAAAAATGTGATGAACTGGAAAAGGAAGAACAGGAAATGGAGGACAGAGACTATTAGGTGGGAGTGCAGTGAGAATATAAACACCAGAAACTGCAATTCATCAAACAGGAAGTCCTGAAATCACATGACATGCAGGAAAAGAAAATTTTAAAAATAAATGAAAAGGGACAAAGTGGGTAAGCTCAATAGAGCCTGGGGAGGCGGGGGAATATTTTTAAAGGTTTAAACAGAGACATTATAAGGCTATAAAAAAAAAATCACAACAATAAATTATATTGAAATAATCTGGTGACAGTTAAGGGACTACTTTCACTTTCTTAAGTTATGTTGTCCTAAATATTTAATCAGTAGAGAATCATGTTAACATATATCCATTAACTGTTAAAACAAAACAAAACCGAAGAAAATAATCTCCTCCTAAACTTTATATATAATCAATTGATGACTAGATTTTTTTTTTCCCACAAAGACAACAGAAAAATTCAATGCATTATATTCACAATTAAGAAATAACTATCTAGGTTAAAATGATCTTACCCATTAATGTTGCTAAAAGACACAAGGAGTACATTTCCTTGTCAGCTTGCTCCTGAAGTTCCTTAGATAGTTTACCAGTAACAGCAATCTCTTCTTGTCTCACAGTGTGGGCTGAGTGTGCTGCAGCAGACTGACCACCTTCTGCTTTACTTTTTAGAATCTCTATTGTAATTCTGTCACCATGCTGCAAAGGAACTGGCTCCTTTTCCATTCCTGCCTGGGGTGGCATTAACTCTTTAGGAGGAAAGCCATAGCGAATACACTGTAAATAGGGAGGAATGTTAAATTCTCTGGCTATGCTTTCTTGAAGCTCAAAAAAGGTTGTTGAAGACTTAAGTGTAACCATGGACTGTCGTCCATCATTAGTTGTTATTCGGATCTTTTTCTCCTTAGAAGTCGTTGGTGAATAGGGAGCCTTGGTAGGGGTTGCAGGTGCAGAAGATGGACCATCACGAATGGTACTAGGAGAAACAGTCCTGGGCTGACCTTTTTGTTCTTGTTTTAACTTCTCTGTTTTCCGTTTCTGCATTACAGCAGCCTGTTCCGTAATATTCTGTTGAATAGTTCTTTCAGTTTTACTCATGTTTAATTCCTCCTTGTGCAAAGTTTTCGTTTTCTGTCCAGTGAGAATAATTTTAGTTGGGAGCTGAGACTCCGACTCTTGTCCTTGTACATCTCCGACTCTTTGGGCATGAGCACCATCTATATTTACAGGAGTATAATCATCAGGATTCTTTTTGGCAGTCTGATGCAATATAGTATGGACAACTTTCTGAACCAGGATTTCACTCCCAAATTCACCTGGAAAGTGCTTGGTAACAAGTTTCATTGCAACATCATAAACATTACTATTCAAAGATGAATCACTTTCATACTGGAACCAATATACTGTTTCTCTGACCACTCTTCCACCCCATTCCAAAGTAATAGGAAAAGCTTCTGGCAGATTGTCATACTCTTTACCATCCCAAAAATGTTTGAATCCACAACCACATTTGCCACCAGTGGACCTAGAATTAGTTCTGTCCCCATCCAAATACACAATAGACCCATCTCCTCTGACCCTTCGCACAGAAGTGCCATGGCACCAATTACAAGCTGTCAGGTTACTCAATCCATAGTCTGGTACCAGAACATCTTTCACTGAATCATATGAACAAACTAAATTGTTCAAGGGAAAGCTATAATTTTTGTCAGGCCTCAGCTGTCCATGAGTACTTTTTGCCAGGTTATACAGTTTCCCTCCTGGAGCCAACCACTCTGGAGGAACATGAAGTTCAGAAAGGGCACCACAGAGCAAACATTTGTGAAGGCGATTATCCATTACTGCTTTTTTAGCAGCTGCTGTGACTTCTTCAGGCTGAACTCCTATCACCCCAGTCCTCCTGTAGAAATACTGATGGACATCAGCAACCAAACTAGGATGGATACCATGTTTGTCCATAAAGACTTCTTCCATAGCAGCAACAAGCCTAAGCAAATACTTATCCTGCAAACTTCTGTCTCCTCCAATAACACAACCACCATCTTCCTCAAGTTTAATGTACTTTTTAATAAGGTCCTGAGGCACACCCCAAGCTTTAGGCAGCAAATTCATAGGCAATTTGGGCAAAGCAGCCCCTTTTATGCCTACCAAGGGGATATAATGGTTTCTACCAGAGCTACTCCATGCAATACAGATTGGTTTGTTCAAATGACCATCTCTCCCTGTGCATTTCTCTGCAGGGATGAGCCCAGGCAGAAAGGTGGCTGAATAATCACCAGAGCTTCTCATGCCACTGAGAGAATCTAGCAGAATAATAGGGCGATGTAATACATTGGCAAGGCCAAATATGTGGATGTTCCTCAAGCCTAAGGGAACACCTTCAGGTGGTACAAACAGAGGGTCACACTCATTGATAATGTCCTCCCATTCAGCGGCATCAATGAAGTCATGGAACAGGGCTTGATACTGGGCCAGGTGCTGCTGAAAGTGTTGTTTAAGATTCTCTCTCAAGGCGTGCCAGAAGAGCTCCCGGCCTACTAAAGCCCGGGACACAGCATGCACCAAGCAGTGTCCATCCCCATCCACGTGAACTGGAATGAGGCATTCCTGGCTTTTATTGGCCCGCTTGATGTCCTCGAGAGTGTCATGCAAATACAGGAGGCTTCCGGAGCGGTCCTTGCCGTAGCCCACCGTGTTAACGTGCTCAGGTTCGATGAGGAAGGCGCGGTCACCGAGTAAAGCGCAATCGAACAGTTCACCCTGGTTCATGTCCCGGAGAAGCTTAGCCCTGCCTGTCTGTTTATCCATTCCATAGCGAGCTAATATGGGCGACAACAATTTGCAGTGGTAGTTAGAAAGGCCCATCACCTTCACCAGTTCCGTGTTCTTCTTGGGTGCCCCTGTCACCCCGAGCAGCGCGTTCCGCAGCAGGTTGTGTAGCACTACGTCCGGGTCGGTCACCTCCTCCACCCCCAGCAGCTGTTGCTGCTCGTGCCGCTGTCCGCACTCGGTACACTCGATGCTGACAGAACCGGAGGCCGGGAAGAACAGACGCGCCTGGCACTTCGGATCCGGGCAGCTCCCGGAGAGGATTCTCCGGTCTCTCCGTTTCGAGAGCCCCCCCGGAGGAGCCGCCGCCGCCAGGGACGGCGGAGTCTGCGGAGCCTCAGGGGGAGGAGGTGGAGGCGGCAGCGGCGGTGGCGGCGGCGGCTGAGACATACCTCTCGGCTCTCGTGTCTCGCTCCGCGTCCCAAGCGACCCTCAAAGGCTCATAGCCCAGACCCCCCACCAGCCCGACTCTGTCCAGTTCAGGCCCAGGGCGAATCACTTTCCTTTCCCTACCAGCTCCTCCTCCTCCTAAGCGAAGGCGGAAGCGCCGGACGTTGTTTCTCTTCTTACTTCTCCACTGCCGTAGCCGTTGCCCCGAACGTAACGGCCACCACCCTACCCAGCACTCACACTCACTCACTCTCGCTCTCTCTCCCTCAGACACACAGACATACACGCCCTCACTGAGAGTGCGCAGGCGCAGCTACCGCTCTGCCCTCTGGGAATTAGAGTCTGGCAGCCTCTGTCCGGGTCGTTGAGTGCTAGGATCTTGGATCCAGAAAGAACTACAAATACCGTGAGGCCAAGCGGTTCAGCTCCCGCGGAGAGGAGGAAGAGGAAGGCAGTAGGAAGGAGGGCAGAAAGGAAGAGTGTCACTCATGTTGGCTGCCGGGAGTTGTAGTTTTAACTGGATCGCCTTTGTCGACTTTCCACTTCTGGGGCGCAAGCAAAAGAGAATGAGAGACCACATTTCCTAGGATACCCTGCGGTGCGTTCAGCCTCACTTCCCCCTTCCGCGGAGAGGTGGATACAGGGAAGCTTGGTAAAAACAGAATTAAAGGGAATGGGTGTCGGAAGCGGAGGGTCTGAAGTTCTCGACTCATAGAAGGGGAGGGGAATGAAAGGCTCTCAGTAAAGAAGGTACAGTACATAAATGTCCAGCGATATGGCGGGCTGGTAAATTGAATGAAATGATCTAATCTATACTGGAGGTCGTAAAAGAAAAAGGGGGAAGACAATAAATTCTCAGAGTATGTCTTAAGGTCTTTTTTTTCTGCCACACTTCTCTGTTCTCATTCCTGCTCCTATTCCAAACCACTGAGGTGCCTAAGTCCGCCTTTCTGCCCTTTTTCCCCTCTCTACTGAGGGTCACTGAGGCGCCATTTGTTTCCTAGTTCCGTGTACATCTTTAAAGTTTACAGTACAAATAACAATACCTTCGATACGTATAGAGTCGTATATACATACAGAACCTTTTAACTAGATATAATTTGCTACTTACGGCCCTCTCCTCAGAGAGTTATAACAGCTATCATTTACTAAGTTCTAGTATATTCTTGTCACAGCCTTTACATACACGATATAATTTGATCTTCGTAATAACCTTGTTAGAATCTACGTCCGGAAAGAAAATGACTTCCTCAGGTTCACACAGCCAGTGACTGTTAGGCATTCAGATCTACATCTGTACCCATTTTGCAGACAGGGATATAGGCAGGAAAGGTTAGGCCAGTTTTATATAAAATAACTAATTTCCCATTACTGTTGCTTTATAGTTTACATAATGTGTTCACATATATCATCTCATCCTCCCACTAGTCCTGTAATATGTTACCAGGTATTGTTGACTCCATTTACAGTTGTGGAAACAGAGTAGGAGTTAAGTGACTGACTTGTCCAAGGTCAAATCACTAGTGTATCTCTGATGCAGAGTGCTTTTTACACTAATTTCTACAAAAGAAAAGAGCTGTTAAGCCCAGACCTTTTGTTAAGCCTCTGAGTCTCTTAGTGACTCAAGGAGTGGTAAAGATGTTTACCCTTAAGAAGGCAGCACAGTTTTATTTTATTGTGTGCTTTGAAACTGCCTCTTCATGCAAAACACATTGATACGTTAATTGAAAGCTAGTATTGTTTTAATTATTATTGTACAGTCAGCCCCTTTCACTTATTCTGGAAATTCTTGCTTTCCGAAACCTTAGATAAGTGAACTGTCTCAGAATTTCTGAAACATTTGGCACAAAACAGATACATCAGTGCAGTCCATGAGGTCATTTGAGTCTTCTGCCCTTGCCAAGGGAATTGTTTACCTTATAGGTTTTTTGAGTAAATAGAATTTGATGCTTTGAAATGAACCATCTGTAAGACACTCCTAAAGAGTATTAGTGCTGACTTTCACCCTAATTATTGTCTACAGTTTTCTTCCAAAGAAACATGTTTGAAAGAGAAATTCTTCAAGTGTTTTTTTCTCACCCAATTCTTCCTGGTCCATGCAAAAAATGATGTTACCTTCATACAAGATAGGTAATGTTACTTAAAAGGGATAATTTTCAATAAAGTTTTTCTTAATTCATGCAGGAAAAGTTGTTTATTTCCATTCTGACAACAGTTTGGTGATCTTGGGACTGATTTTTTATTGTTTATAAGTTGAGAAATTAAATGTGCCCATTAAGTGGAAATCATTGTTTATTGTTACTGAGAAGTTACACCTGCAGTGAAATTTTATTCTCCTCATACAGAATCCAAAGAATTGAATTGTGAAAGCTTCAGAGCAAATGAAAGATAATGGTAGTATGCACACTGGCATGCACTTTTATGTCTTGACATCACCAAGGCAGATTTTCCATACTGATAATACATTTAAACAGTGAAATAGATTTTTTCAAATTGCATCTGAATGTGTCATTCTGAATCATACTTGACAAAATCATACTTGGCAAAACCCTACTGAAGAAATGGGTGGCCTTGCTCTGGCTTGTCAAGCACTATCCATTTGACTAATCCATTGTCCCCATATAAAACCTTGATTAGTTAGAAACATTCTTCCCAAACTAATTCTGACATTTAAGCTCATTTGTTACTGTAGTTCTACTAGTTTTAAGAATGATTCTTTTGAGAGGAAAAAACAAAATACCCTGGCATAAAGCACAGTAGGAGGAAGGGGGGAGTTAAGTTTTCAATCAATTCTGGAGTTAAATTAGGTCATTTAACCTACAAATCACTTATTTAACAAGTCTGTAGATGCAAAGTTCAGAAAGAAGAAAGCTCTCAAATAAAGGGACAATGATGGTTTTTTTTTAAATAGTTTATTTGTCAGAAAGAGAGAGCACAAGTAGGGGGAGCAGCAGGCAAAGGTAGAAGCAGGCTCCCCACCGAGCAAGGAGCACAACGTGGGACTTGATCCCTGGACCCCGGGATCATGACCCAAAGTGAAGGCAGACACTTAACCAATCAAGCCACCCAGGCATCCCAAGGGGCAATGATACTAACCACACCAAGTTCAATATGTGAATTAATCTTTTATAGGCATTTAGAAGGCATGGGTACCTGTAAAGTAAGAAAATTTTGTTAGGACAAAATATGACATGCTGTTTCTTACAAAGCCATAGAAGTGCAGAAAACTAACCTGCTTATGTGAGATACACATGCTTCCTTCCTCTTCCCAAATTCCATGACCTTAATTGTCATTAAACTTTCACAAGAACTTTATGAGATTCTTAATAGTTCTTGTTCTTGTCTCAGTATTCCAGATGGGGAAATGAACTGAGTCCCTGTTAGCTGCTCTGATACATACCTCTTCTACCACCTTTATCCCAGCATCGCTTCTATCTGAATTGCCAAAATGTAGTTAAAACCGAAACCCTTTCCCTACTTGCCCTATAAATTTCTAGTAGGACACTTCTAAAATTCCTGTATTGCTGTTAGCATACCTAGTAAAGGCAAAAGCAAGAGGCATCCACTTAAGAGAACAACCATCGTTTTTTCTCTTTTATATTGGAAAAGGAAAGGAATCATAACTTTGGGGATTGTTAAAAGTCAGCCACATACTTTTTTTTTAGATTATTTTATTTATTACAGAGAGAGCACAAGAGGAAGGAGGGGGACAGGGAGAGGAAGAAACAGTCTGCCCACTGAGCAGGGATCCTTGATGCTGGGCTCAATCCCAGGACCCCTGAAGCATAACCTGAGCCAAAGGCAGATGCTTAACCAACTGAACCACCCAGGTGCCCTAGCCACATGCTTTCTTATATGAACTATACATTTGTACTAAGAGTTGACTATATTCTTCCAGATTTATCTCCCAGTCAGACTTTGAGTCACAAGCTTTTGTTAAATCTCAGGGTGGACATGGACTTAATTACTGGAATAGGTATTATAGGAGCTCAAAGGGACACAGAGGTCATCCCTGACCCAAAGGAACTCAGAGTCTAACAGAAGAAATAGGCACAACCAAATTGTTCATTAATACAGGTAGAATAAAACATATAATTGATCAAAACAATACAAGAAAATAAATTTCACAGATGCTATGAAAATTTTATTGAGGGCTTATTGTAGGGTGGGTGTTTTTAAGAATATTATCTTAATCTTTAAAACAATCCTGTGAGGGGTTCCTGGGTGGCTTAGTCAGTTAAGCATCTGCCTTCAGCTCAGGTCATAATCCCAGGGTTCTGGGATCTAGCCCTGCATCAGTGGAACCCCGTGTGGGGCTCCCTGCTCAGTGGGGAGCCTGCTTCTCCTCCTCCCTCTGCCACTCCCCCTGCTTGTGCTCGCTCGTGCTCACTCTCCCTCTCTTTCTCTCTCTCTCTGTCAAATGAATAAATAAAATCTCTAAGGAAAAAAAAAATCCTGTGACATAGGTAGTATTGTTTTTATTATACAGATGAGAAGATTTAACTCCGGAAGGTTAACATTATTATTATCATCATTATTACCACCCAGCTAGCAAGTAGCAGAACTGGGCTTCCAGTGAAGGTTTTCTTCCGTGTTTACTCACTCTTTCCACTGCATCACAGCTGCTTTGTGATTTGAGAGAGAATTAGTCAAGAAGTGAGTGCAAACTGGTGGCCAGTGGCCAAACTTGGCTTACATGTGTTTTTTGTTTGGCCAGTAGCAGTTTAACTTTTTTTTTTTTTTTAATGTGAACATCTTTGCACAGTGGCCAGCACTTTACTCTAACATCATATACCAGGTCCCCTTGAGACATATTACTTGCCTGGCTCTAGAAAGCATTTGCATTTTCTGTATCAGACAGCAACTGGGGACAGAGGAGCAAGTCTCAAAAGGCTCATGAAAAAGGTATTTTAAAGGGCAGGAGGACTTTGTGAACAAGAGTTGCAGAGAGGGGTGCCTGGGTGGCTCAGTCAGTTAAGGTAGGCTGCTGAGCCTACATTCATATGGTAAAGGTCAAATTCTACCTGGTCACATCTCTACATTGCCAAACAGAACTATTTGCAGTGATGGAAAAGTCCTATGTCTGTCCTGTCCAATATGGCAACCACTAGCCACATGTGGCTATTAGGTACTTGAAATATGGCTAGTGCAACTTAGGAACTGATTTGTTAACTTCATTTAATTTTTTAAAAGCTTTTATTTATTTATTTGACAGAGATCACAAGTAGACAGAGAGGCAGGCAGAGAGAGAGGGGGAAATGAGGCTCCCTGCTGAGCAGAGAGCCTGATGCGGGGCTTGATCCCAGGACTCTGAGATCATGACCTGAGCCGAAGGCAGAGGCTTAACCCACTGAGACACCCCGGCACCCCTAACTTTATTTAATTTTAATTAAATTTAAGTAGCCACATGTGGCTGTGTCTCTCTGTTGGCAGGACAAATACAAGTCCTTACAGCTATTAATTCTACATTAAAAATAGTGATTTCCCCAAATTCCAGTGAGTTCCTTACTCTGGTGGGGGTCAAGGGATGGGGACTGACTGTAAAAGGGAACAAGGGAACTTTTTAGGATGATGGAAATATTCTTCATCTTGATTATGGTGATGACATGGATATATACATTTGCCAAAACTTATCCAACTGAACTCTTTAAAAGGGTGCATTTGTGTGTGTGAATTATACCTCAGTAAAGTCAGTTTTAAAAAAGGGAAAAGGGGGCACCTGGATGGCGCAGTCAGTTAAGCATTTAACT